AGTTCTGCAGGCCGGTGGAACTCCACGCTCAGCTCGATGTGTTTTGTTCACCAGTACTTGGGTACGAGCACAGCGATACGATTCCCTGTGTCACATCCACTTTTCAATTCCAACTATCCGCCGTGAGTATCCGTCTCCTCAGTTTTGTTCGTCTTCTAGTTTCTCTTTGGCTCTAATCGTTTTCCATAATGTTAAGAGAGCAGCTGGTTGCATGTGACTACACGAATTTACTTGGCCGAACGAATTTTAGTTTTGATTTCATGAGGGGAATTTATTGCATTAACTTTGATGTTTGTACTCCGGACTTCATTATCGAGGTCCCAATGTGGCGTTATTTATCGTCGAGCGTTGGCTGCCCGATTTACCCTCGTGTGTGTTGACCTATCAACTTCGGTCTTGTTCAGCAACCGCTCATTCATTCCACAAGCTCACATGGTTCGCTACTTCGTGGCTACATCACGTTGTCATCAGACTGCATTTTTGCCCCGCCTGGTATCGAGTAACCCTCTGCGAGCGAAAGCAGGGGATAGCGATCAAAATTTTATTCTTCTTAAAGCGCAGAAGCATTTAAACTGTAACGATGATTTGAGACGCTATTCAATTGCGATGGGTCTTTTCCAGTCAGTTCCCCTGGTCACTCATGCGGCCTGTAGATGTTCATTGGTCCACACTACCTGTTGATCCGCTGTGCTCGGCGTAATCTATCCTTACTCTAAACTGCGCCCGTAATTGTCCGTGCCAATTCTCCATTGTTCAAATGGCTCGCGCGCGGTTATGTCTACCAAATACCCACCGCCTTCGTTTGCTCCGCTGACCGGCCGCCGTTGCATCCCGCAATGTTACTCCGGGTTCGTAAGCGCGCACACGCTGTCCGCTCGCATCTGTTAGAGCTGATTCGCTTCACCTCTGTGTGTGACCAAGTTGCGCTGCGTCCACTTTAGACTGGACTACCTGTACTCTGTCTGTGATTAGTTCGCTTCGATGGCGAGTAATTAGCCTTCTGTCAGCCCCCACCGTATTGGTCATGTTCACCCAAACGACAGCTACCATCAGACCTGGTTTTCCGACCTCTACTAAACACGGTACTAAGTTGTTTAATTGCTCTTGCTTAGGCTCATACTAATTGGTTTCCATTCTGCGACACTTTTCTGTGTTCCGCCGAATTAATCGAGCTAGTTCGATAAATTTTCAGGGAATTTGCAGAGTTTCGAGTAGTTTCACCACAGTCATACGGACTTCGTCATATGGAGAGTCACAGGGCAGCCGTTTTTACCTCTTGCAGCACGCGGCATCACGATTAGTGAGCCCATCGCATGGTCCACCACCATCACCCACGGTTTATCAGCGTAAATTGCAGACTACAAGTCGAATGACTGTGAGTTCCACCACAGATAACTTAACCGCCATGAGCTCACCATGACGAGGGAGCCACCGCGATGGCGACGTTCTGTTGTGGCAATGTGCACAACAAGCGGAGGTAACGATCGTCACCGATAGGCCACCAGCTAGGGAAAACATCACAAAAGCGCAGATGTCCAAAGTAGTATCAAACCAAGAATGCCTGGTTGGGGACTTCAACATGTGCAGTACCCTGTTGAGACTACCATGTTAGGAGCAGTCTTCTTCAACCTGAGAAGGTAACACATCATGGAATATATATCTTTCGATTATTTTAATTGATGGACAGTTGGTGTTGCCGTTAGGTTTGAAACCGGGGCCCATTACCAAAAGAATGGGGACATTTCGTGAAAATTAAGATCATATCCATGGTCTCCCCGAGTGCTCACTTTGCAAACAGATCTTGCAATCACCTAACTTTGGTTTGTTTACACAATACGTCCATTCTGAGAGCAGAAAAGATGCTTCGGCAAATTTTTTTGAGAAAAACTACCATGTTCAAGTATTTGCCAATTAACATGCTCACAATATCTACAGTAGTGAACCCTGATCTCGGCCACAGCCTCCAAACAACGCGAACTTCATTACCACGACTGAAGCACATGTGGTCTGATATATAGTGGTTCAGCACAATCACCCTGTCAGTACTCGTCTCGGACATCCCTTGGTCATTTGATGCTGATCATGTTTAAAGAGTCTCTAATAGATTTGTTGGAATTAATTTTGGACAGCAAATACTCCATGTCCTGATTGATTTCACCGATTACTTTTTCGATGAGAACCGCTCTAATAACGGAGAGAGGCTTCTCACATTGTGCGAAGACAACCACCTATTCCTTTCGAGCACTAACTTCAGGCGTAAGAAGAAGCGTTCCGCCACGTGGCGTCTCCCTTCGTCAACACAACTGTGGGCTAAAATTGATCACATTGTAATCAGCTTCTGATGGCGTGGCAGCGTACTGGACTCCAGGTCCTTTTGGTCCACCTTCGTTGAGTCAGCTCATGCACCCGTCTACGCGGAAATCTGTGTGTTTTGGTGGGTCCCGAAACACGAAGCACCGCAAGGTTGAGGTAAACGGACCAACTGATTCCTCTGTCCAGGCGAGCTATCAGCCTTCATTAGCATACGCACTCAGTTGCAATCCGCCGCAAGACGTGGAGCAACACTGGACTTGTATACCGAAAGCGTTAGCCTTATATAATTTTGCATAGTACTTTTTTTGGTGCACAGCAGCCGGCTGGTAGCTTACCGGAACGATGCCCATCCGTTACCGGTAGCTCAGCTGGCTTGCGCCAGTTACATTTTTTTCTCCTTTTTTCTATGTATTGCGGTACAGTAGCTGAGGTATTTCCCACCTCTAGCTAACGTGTATGACGAAATGATACCGAAAGCGATGACCATTTCCAGACAGTCATGCTGCGGCCTAGCTCGACGCCCCCTAAAGGCTTGGATCTCTGCTCGTTCTCTGGAGCTGTTCGAACGCCGCAAAGATATCCCCGCGCAATCAGATTTCAACGAGCGGAGCCGTTCTGCCAATCGGCTGCTCAAGCAAAGCCCACGCAAGGATCGCGAGGCATGGTGGTCTGACCGTGCTTTAAAGATGGAAACTGATGCCCTCTCTGGCAACACTCGCAAGCTTTTCCAACTCATTCGGTCCACTGGCCTCAGGAAGCCTGGTGTCCGTGAGGTTATTTGCGAGGTGGATGAGTCTCCAATCACCAACCAATAGAGGCGTATGGACCACTGGGCCGAGCACTTTCACTCGCAATTCAGCTGGCCTCCACTATCCATCAGTACATGCAGTACACCTTGTTGTCCACCCTGGTTCGTCCCACTGACTCCACCCAGCGAATCGGAATTATACCTCAAGATTCGACGCTTGAAGCGATTCAAAGCTGCCGGCTCAGACGGACTTGCTTTGGAGCTGTTTAATTGCGGCGGTGTGGTGATAATTAAGCAGCTGACCGCGCTGTCTGCAAAAATCTGGCATGAAGAGAAAGTGCCTTCCTCTTGGGGCGATTCAGTTATTGTCCCGTTTTTCAAGAAAGGCGCTCACACTTCATGTGTAAATCATCGCGGGATTAGCCTTATTTCGGTTGCCTCCATGTTATTGGCATCCATTCTGCTCCGTAGACTACCCCCAATAGGTGAAACATTCTATCGTGAAGAAGAAGCTGGTTTCCGTCCCGGCTGCAGATGCGTAGATCAAATCTTCACTCTCCACCAGCTCCTCGAACATCGCCACATTTATCACCGGCCCACTATCGTTGCATTCCTAGACTTTTAACTCCATTGGTCTACCTGCTTTATGGCGTTGCTTGCTAAAAACGGAGTACCAGAGAAATATACTGCCCTTTTACGAGCACTTTACCTTCATACATTCGACAGAGTGAGGGTATATGGCAAGCTTTCCTCTCAATTCGCTGTCATTTGCGGTGTGCGAGAGGTCTGCTCTATGTCTCCATTCCTCTTCAACTTCGCAATCGAAGACGTCCTGTCGAATGCTCTAGAAGGTTTCTAACATTTTGGCCTAGAGCTTCTACCGGGTGAACGCGCGATTATGCTGATGATATCGCCTTACTTGGTGACCATCTTCACGGTATGCAACTCATTCTGGATCGTTTGGCGGTTGAAGTATCTACTTATGGCATGAGCTTCGCCCCATCGAAGTGTGAAGTATTGTTCAAGGATTGGCTTTCACCTGCTCCCGTGCTCATTCTCGAATGTGCACAACTTGAACAAGTGGATAGTTTCGTCTACCTTGTGAACTGCGTTTCTGCTGAAAGCACTATCAGCAAAGTGGTTTCTGTTCGCATCACTAAATCTCGATCAGCATTTGTCAATCTGAGGCACTTGTAGCGTCTCATTCGCGCTAAAAGGCCGCGTTTACAGCGCATCTGTTCGCTCAGTGTTGTTGTGTGGGAGCGAATCTGGCCGATTCGCATGGAAGAATTGCGTCCTCTTTCTGCCTTCGATAACGATTACTTAAGGAGGATTGGTCGTGTTCTAGTGGCAACATCGATTTAATATGTCACCATTTCAACGGAGCAATAACAACCTACATTTCAGCCAAATACTCTGAACTCAGTGTATTTTGTGTGTTCTCATCAGCCGCTGTTAAGAATGCACGAAATATCCTGAATTCAGTTTATTCCGCTGAAATATTGATTGTTCTTGCTCTGTTGAAATTCCTGGAGTAAACTAGTTGTATGACAATATCTCACTGTCCTCCTTCCATTTGCATGTAATTTTTTCTCACACCGTCTTTTTCTCTTGGCATTACCGGCAAGTGTTTCACTGAATCACGGTAGTCTTTTACGAGTGCACCTCTCAAGTGCTTTGCAAACTCCATCGATGATTGTTTTTCAAAAACCGTTAGGAACCGGGCAAGCACCGAATTTCGTGGTATTACACCGATTTTCTGCCTTATTATTTTAAGTTCTACTTTTCTATTTTATTCTCGCTTTTTACTCAAGGCTTTCCTCCGGGCGTAATCAATATCCTACCAGGCTACGGAGAGACGGCCGGAGCCTCACTGGCTTTGCATCCCGACGTCCGCGTTGTGACATTCACGGGGAGCAGTGAGGTCGGTCAACTCATCATGAAGGCCGCCGCATCAAATGTGAAACACGTCAAATTGGAACTCGGCGGCAAGTCCCCCCTGGTCATTTTCGCCGATGCCAACTGTAAGTTTGCACAACACGGGCTCATTGTTTCCGACCATTGTGGTCATTTTACCAGCTGTCACTCGATTTTTCAGATTTGATAACTCTGGTTAGTGTTTCGACCCCTGTTTTGAATGATCTCGGCTTGCCAGGTTCGTGCATTTGCTTCGGATGGCATGCTTCTTCTATCAGTAGTGTGCGCTTCCTGGCTATGCTCACTCGTACATATTAAAAAGCATAGTGCTTGTAGCTGCTGTGGGTCACAATGGCTGTGGGAAAGACGTTTGTTATTGTAACCCGTCCGGTCATCTGAATGCGTTACCACATTGTGATCGGCCTTAATTTACACGGCGTTCTCAATCTAAGTGCATCTAAAGGTTAGCCATTGATCTCCAACTTCATGAACAGTAACATTTCAAACCTGCTTGGGCTAAATACCTGGGTAAGTAGCGGCAGCCGTCTGTGTATGGCACATGGGCCACCCAACCGATTGTTCTGGAAAATCCAATGCATTTCCTAGTTGATAGTCGGATTATTCAGACAGTTATCAAGGCACTAGACATTTGAATGGTGACGCCGTATTTCTATCATTTACTTTCGTGAATCCCACACTTCTAGGCATAACTACATTTTTCTGTTGTTAACGGCATCATGAACCTAGCCTAGGTCATTGCTGTGGTCTACTTGTACGAATGAACTGCTTATTCTTCAAACTGCTTTTCAGCGGTGGCACAGATAGTCCTTTGAGTCTAGCCGAGTGGCCCTTGGCATCCCCACTTCTCCATAGTGATCCTGTGGTGCACTACTAATGAGTAGCATGGGGAAACGAGCGGACGCGGTGAACTCGGCAAATAATGGATCACCGCGGACGACGGGCGCATAGTGCACAATTCAACCAGCCTTGCAAATGAATGGTGCTGTAGCGTTGAAGTTGTACCGTACCGTCATTTCAAGCCAGGTCGATAGCACCAGGCGCAGCGTGCAATCAAATGACACCACGAATGAGGTGTGTAAATGAGTCCTACTGTTCTTTTTGAAATGTTATACCATGGATAAGTTCGTTCTTCAATACACAACTTGTTCACACCGCCCTGCCTTCTCCATCATCATCATCATCCTCATCATCATACACATTAGCTAGAGGTGGGGAACACCTCAGCTACTGTGCCGCAGTATGAATACTTCCGAATCTCTTTCTCGATCATGTCCTCATAACGATGAAGCCCAACAACTTTCTCAGTACTTGTTGAGTGAGCAATGCATGAACCGCGTGTCAGGTACACTCATTAAATTTCCCCCGAACGCACTCATACAAAACTTTCCAACCTTCGCTCACCGTGAATTCCATCCGTCATGGTTCCATCATCACGAGTCCAAATTAGAATATCTAAGCGGGCAAGAACACGTGACGAGAAAGATATAGGACACTATCACTACTGGTTCTCTGCCAATTTTGTCCAGTTCGCCTGCGCTGGTATGGTAGTTGGTTGACCATACCTATCTAGGTGTACCTCGTTCCATCTAGAGTAATATTTATTTACCAGGAAAACCCCACCTGTTTAGTTAAGGACGTGTGCGCTTTTTGTGTCTTAACTGTTACCACGAGTGCATACGTGAGTAATACACAGATAGTTTCATGGGTTTCACGTCAAGTGAGCACTCTACTCTCAGTCGCCCTTTTCTACCGATACGCTGTCACATACTCCCGCTTTCTCTCCATCTTGTCAAGTTGAGGAAGCTGCTCAGACAGCTCACGAAGCCACCATGATCAACCATGGACAGTGTTGTGTCGCCGCGACGCGCACTTTTGTTGAGGCCCCTATTTATGACAAAATGGTGAAACGATTGAAGGAGCTGGCTGAGAAACGGAAGGTCGGCGACCCCTTTGCCGTTGACACTATTCAAGGCCCTCAGGTCCGTTGCACATTGGTTACAATTTCTCATATGTCGCTCCACTCCTCCATGACGAGTTGTTGTCCTTCTTCATGTGCAGTTTGGCTGCACCGAGTTGCACTTTAACGCTTTTCTTAACCGGGGGTGCGGTTGAAAGAGGAGGAGAGGAGGCCAAGCGGTGACTTGGTCGAAAGAAATGGAAACCCTCACTTTTAAGTTGGCGTCGGTTGGTGCATCCCGACTGCCTGGCTGGGGTCCTAAGGACTATGAACACGTTTTGTTGCACACACTTGCAAATAGGGCTAGGAGCCGGTTCCAATGGCATTTGTGTTGTGAGTTCCTTTGTCCATCCGCCTCCTGCTTAGCCTCCCCCTCCAATCACGATCTCATTCGCTAGGCATAATGTAACTCTACGGCGCGATAGCCGGCTGTTAGGTCTTCGGAATGATGTCCATCCGTTACTGGGGACTCAGCTGGCGTGCCACTGTTGTATTTTTCTTGTCTTTAGTATTGCGGCATAATAGCTGAGGTGTTTTCCACCTGCAGCCAACGTGTATGATGATGATGACCATAAGCATTTAACGTGATCTTCCACGCGCCTGTGTCCAGTGATCCAACTCCTCATATGCGCTACGATCATGGCGTCGTCATTTTACCTAGCCTAATTGATAGACTTCTCTACGTGGAGGAGGACGGGTTGAAAGTGAGGCAGACTACCCTTCTTCGAAAGTAAAATTATCAACAAAGTCGACCAGTGAAAATCCTCTTTGTGGATGAGGTCATTCCGAGGCAAATCTTATTCAGCTTAAATAGTCTAATGGTTTAAAGATCCATGATCGTCCATGCTTGAATCCAGTGGATCGAGAATGACTCAATCCCGCTATCATTGAGATGAAGAGACGAAACGGTGATGGGGAAACAAATCTCCGTATCATAGATTTTCTGGTCGTTTCCAAGACTCCATGAAGCAGGATAAGCAGGTTGCTCACACTTCAAGCACGCCTGGTTGTTCCTGCTTCGGCTTGTGTGTAACCTTCATCAGCGTTTGCAGTCTTATGAACGACCGTGAAGAACTCAGTCGTTTCGTTGCATTTGTGCGGTCAGATGTAGTGGGACTCGCAGAGATGTGGCTGAATTCTGTGGTGCTTTCCCAGGAAATCGATGTCAGTGGTTATTCCTGATTCTGCTGCGATAGACTATCACCTACGTGCCGTGTCGTCTTGCTCTACATCCGGCTTTCTCTGTGCGTTGTGGGCGTCTACAGAAGCGATGATGGCCAGTGTGATCAGCTGTGGTGCTCGATCTACCTCAGGCGCTGGGAATTTGCTCGTGGGTACGTTGTGTCGCAGTCTCCTCAGTCGTTGTTTGGATTGGCTGCCGCATCTCTGGATCCACATGAGTCGTCCCCATTTTCTAATCATGGCTGATTTCAGTTGTCCTTGAGTACACTGACCTGAAGTTCCACTCATGCCCGGACATTGTAAAATCGAAACAAAGTTCATGGACTTAAATCCTGAAAGTGGTGTAGCGCAACACATATACCGGCCAACACATTATAACGCCGCGCTCAACTCCATCGTGCCTAGACTCGATGTTAAGAACTTGTGAAAAACGCATGAATGACTTTCATGTTTTAGAGCCGATAGCACCAAGCGATCACTGAGTGCTCACGGCCAGTATGAATCTATCTTTACCCTTATTCTCCTCCGCTAGAGCCAGCTTACAACTACTAGCAAACTGACTTCGACGATCTAACTCGAGCCGCGAGCCAAGTGAATTGGTCTCTACCGCAAGCTATATCTGTGGAAGGCTGTTAAACTGCTATAAAAGAGAGTATGACATTACTCTGTTCTCAATTTGTACCACTGTGGTGTCAGAAACCTGAATTAGTCAAGCCACATTGATTCGACAAGGAGTAAAGTAAAACGGCTCGACGGCGACGCAAATTGTGGAACTAATTCCTCCTCTCTGGTTCTTCCAATGACTTTGAGGCAGCGGACTATTTACAATGGTTCAACAACCGGCAAACGCCGGCGTGTCGAATATCAACTCGCAGCCGTTGCAAAGACCGCCACGAAGGAAATATTTGCTTACGTTAGACGGCGCCTTAAGCCGACAGGTGATCTGCCAATGTTATAGAGCTCGGACAGACGGACCATAAACTGCAGCACTGGTCGTGTATCCGCGTTTGCGGCGCGTCTCGCTTCCGTGTTTGCAAATGACCAGGTGTTTGTACAGAGTTCGACGTGTTCCGCGCTAATCCCATGCTTCGAACGGATAGTGGTAAATGGTTGGAACAGTTAGTCAGAACAAATCGTGCAGCCCAAATCTGTGCAGCAGTTCAAAACTTTGTTGGATTCAAATTTCACTACCATTCGATTCAAAGTACGATTGCACACTGGCAATGCCATCTCATATTTGTGAGCTCAACGAAACTGTGAGTCAAATATTTATGATTTGAAGTACGGTTAGATTGTCACACGTGTTTGATTATCTTACTCCCACAACACAGTATACAGCATTCCGTGTTCCTCCTGATCGATCTGATGCCCCATGTCTAGCACACGCACTATTAAGGCCGTTTTTAACCTTACTTCTTATTCAAATTTGCTCCTCGGCGGTTGTGTCCGTGTACATAGCTCTCCCATGGTTTGACCTATGTGTACGTGTGCATGATCTTTACAATTGACTGTCCTATTTCCGGAAATGAGTTTTGAACATCGTGCTTGCCCCCACCGGGAGATCGCCGTTACTTTCCCGCTGTAAGTTTAGCACTTCATCTCAGTGCTGTCCTACTTAAAATACAGGAAATAACTGTCTAGCAGTTTACCCGTCACTTCTTTCTGCGCAGCTCATTTGTCCTTTTGCATCATGCACAGAGCCGGAGCTCTTTAAAACAGTGATGAGGCTATCCCAGTGTGAGTGTGCTTCAGGTAGTCGGAATAACATGAGGCACCTCGTCGGTACCTGTCGGTTCGCGACATCTTGTCACTTTCAACGTTCCTCAATTTCTGTGAGTTAGGCGGCTGCTGAATTCTATTGTACCCCAAAGAGGCCCTAACGTCATAATAAACTACTCTTTCACCAATTGAGTTTAAGCTACCCATCGAAGTTCTATATGTATAGGTGTGTGGGATATTGGTGATCTCATGACTAGACTCTGTCTCCGAGTGCACAGCTTCGACTGGAAACGAGGTAGACCATGTTACGACGCTGTCGTACCTTCGACTGCCTAGTCAAATCTAGTTTTCGCCACCTCATTCAGACTACTTTTCTCAATCCGACAGCCTCATGCCACTCGCAACACCCCTGTTCTGGGTATTTCGGTAAATGGTGAAGTAACGTCGTGCTGCACTATTATGAAGTTAGCTAGTGAGTCTTGGTATCCTTCCAGCAAACTCCATTTCTTTACTACCGTACTCGCTGGCCATGCCAAAGGTTGCAATAGTCTTGTCGGATATCTTGATGTGTGAGCCCGTGTTGGAACGTCGGATTTAGGTATATTTGGTTGGCCACTGACCCTCAACAGTGCAGTAGATTTCGGAACTAGGTTATACAACTGATCCACTCCTGAATTGTCCTATACAATTTTTTATTGACTACGGACTTTTGTCCAAGTTTTATTCATTGTCTTTGTTACGGTTTTACTTTTCAGTCACTTCCAAATATCGTTCTAGTTTTTTCTCAAATAAACTAACTTATTCATTCCAGGTAGATGGAACTCAGTTCAACAAAATCATGTCCTACATCGAAGCCGGCACAAAACAAGGGGCGCGATTGGTGACCGGAGGTTGTCGAATCGGGACGAAAGGCTACTACATCCAGCCCACCGTTTTTGCCGATGTGACTGACAATATGTTGATTGCGAGGGAGGAAATATTCGGTCCTGTTCAGTCGATTCTGAAGTTTGACACGGTAGACGAAGTGATTGATCGCATGAACAGTAGCGATTATGGACTTTGTGCCGGAGTCTTCACCAGTGATATAGACAAGGCTATGCGTATAGCTCAAGTTTGCGAGTGTGGAAGCTTCTGGTAGATTCCTTATGCGTTTTGCTCTCTTACAACTTACTTGTTTGTCTGACTCCGTTCTAGGAAGAACTTGCGAATGTGCCTGCGCTAGTCTTTAAATCACCATTGCGACTCTCCCGAGTTTGAGAATCTTGTAAAGTAAGGAGTTTGAACTTGCGTTTAGGAATTCCACCTTTCCTCTCTGCTCGTTGACTTTGAATCAACCGCTTGCCTTGTTGCACTGTACCCAACCGGTGGGCTTTCAGCGCAACTTCGCTTCCTTTCTAGTGTTACAGTGTTGTGCATTTGGTTGTTTTTCTTCCAGGATCAATTCATACATCACGCTCAGACCGCAGGCTCCAGTTGGCGGTTACAAGATGTCTGGTCTTGGAAGAGAATTGTAAGTTGGCTTAAATTCATAACCATACATGTGTTTGACACGCTGCTGATATTTGCTACGGTACTTACTATAGGCGGATTGAAGATCCAACTTTATTGTTGAGTCTTGGAGTACCCATCATGTGTCTGGTTTGCAATACGTCATCTCTGTTGAGGCGCCGATTTGCGTTAAAGCAAACCTCTGCCATTTCGATCACTGAGACCACATCGAAGTAGAGTTTCGAAGCTACCCTTTTCCAACATCCAACTTTCTTGGGTAGCATGCATGCTATTTAGAAGCCAAGTGCAACCACTCAACTCTAGCGGAAGTCACGGAAAGCCATTTCATGCCTCAGGAACTAGTCACTAGTGCGCCTTCTGCTTATTAGATGAAGCCTCTGAGCCGCAACCGTACCCTCTCGAGACAGAGGTTGCTCGGTTACTGCAACCGACTATCGTCATTGCAGTTGCCAATAAGTTAATGCGTTAACCGATACACGATTGAGTTGCGTTTTCACCTTCTCTTGGCATGGGGGCGGGCACAGGAGATGGACGACACTGCCGCTACTTACCTGCAGGCAGTGTCCCTGCAGGGGAAATTTTCTTGTCTCGTACCATCAGCACAACGTGTAACGAGCTCTCAGAGAGCATCGCCTATGCGTGTCAGCAACGATATTTTTGTTGGCGATTACTTGCATTGTCTGCACGCTACTCTGACAGACGATTTTACGCCCGTCTCGCCGCCTTCGCTCTCCAGCTCTAGCAATTAGCATAGGAAATGAAGGCAGCGCAGAAAGTACACTTTGAAGCATTCAAGCCATAGGACCCCTTCCACTTCTCGATACTTCTTGCACATGAGACGATCTCTTGATTTAGTCGCCTGAGATGCGAGTACTGCAGTGCTTTCAGATGCGAAAGATGTCAAACTTGAACACGACCATTACATGGCTCCACTTTACATGAAACTCTATTTACCCATTTCTTAGCCCATGCAGCGAGCTCCCACCGGCTACTGCATGAAGCAGCCCCAGGATCTCTCGAAACGATCGATAAGGCTTTTGTGCTCTTTATTTCCGCTGACTACTCATCGCAAATAACCACCATACTGTCGCCTCGACTTTCTGGTCCTTTGCGTTACACATTTATCACTTCATCATAGTTCACTGTCACTTCAACATCAGCAGTACGCTGGTACGCAGTATCGAAGCTTTGCGGCCGCGCGCGCAACCACCACCAATCTCACTTGGGCTAGGGATACTGTGATGGTCGCCCTGTCCCTATGCAGGCTTGGAACCCTTGAGGCTAATCGCCTGCGCTGTCGGGCCGGACTATTCTGCTAGATGGACTTCGGTATGGCACTATGGAGCCCATTTGTTCATAGAGGAGGATCATAGAAACGGAATACCTCACTAACGGGCGCTGATCGATGAACCTGAAAATTCTTAGCAGAACTGCCTTGCATATCGATGAATCGAGCAGTCATCTATTTCGACAATCCCGCCGTACAATTTGGTCGGAAAATCCTTCACTCGTTCCCAAACTGTAGTCAAATATGCCACACCCTTATTTAGTATCATTACCGTTATTACCCTTCTACCTTCTAGCAGTTTATATTCTTCTTTACTATATATGGTTGGCGGCATCCGGTTGCGGATTTGCCTGTCACTGTGGCAAGCCACAGGACGCCTGCGCCTACAGAGGGACCATGGATGGCTTGCGCTGCACCACCCACAGCTCCAACCACACACCCCATATCCAGTGTAAACCCGAAGGAATAAGACCGGGAGGCATGCGGATGGGAACCACGTTTCATCAACGGAGCTGGCCCACACTCCTTCACAGGCAAACACGAGCACACTGTATTTGGGAATCCAGCGGACACAAGGCGGTGGCTGGACCTTAGTCCGCTCCACACTGACTGCATGGAACCACTCTTTGATCCTAACACGGCCACAAAGACCGTGCACCCCGTCCCCTGCAGCAACGACCAACTGTCTCCTGGAGCCAGTATGGACGATGTAGTGGGTAATAGACAGGTAGGCACCTTGTCAACATGTACATCAAGCTCATCCACACCGGGGATGTCAAACAACAGCCAAACACTTGAGAGAGAGAGAGAGAGAAAGAAAAAGAGAAAAGCTCGATTAATGCATAAGGAAACGGTGATATAAACCGTAATTAAATAGCATACGTAATAAGTTGTTTACAAACAAATCCTAGCTAAGTGCACGAGGTCAGGAAGTAAAGTTCACGGAATGCCACGAACACAAATATGCTACGGAAATCGAATACAATTGGCTTAGGCGAGGTGTGCAAGTTAATGGAATAGAGTACTGGTAGACATTTATATGAGAAAGAAAAGCGTTAAGGCACAAACTGTAAACCCACCACCTCAAATAAAGAGACTTAGCATGCAAGCACGCGGTTTGTAAATCGAATTCAGCGTGCCTACAAACGCTGCGCCGGCTCGCCGTAATTCTCTGCAGGACCCGTCGTCGCTTCTGTAGTGGCCCCAAAGGACCTAGCTCATGGCCCACTAGACATTTATATGAGAAAGAAAGGCATTAGGAGAGAATCGCAAACCCACCACCTGAAATAAAGAGACTTAGCATGCAAGCATGCGGTTAGTAAATCGAATTCAGCGTGCCTACAAACGCTGCGCCGGTGCTGCCTACGTTCACTGCTGGATCCGTCGGCGCTTCGGCAGTGGTCCCGAGTGACCTCTCTCATGGCTCACTAGGCCTGCCTGACTAAGGCACTCGCGACCGCATGTTCTACAGCACCATGCGCTCGATGTCGATGGAGTACAATTCATTGGTGCTTGCCGCTTCCGCAATTGCCGCTTCTCCTCTGCATGCATGAGGGCTTTCTCCCGCACTTCAGCAACTGCCTTCGTGATTAGATCGCGCCATACGCGCCGATCAACCGCTTTCGATTCCCATGAGCTGCAATCAAGATTAAAACGTGTGAGGCTCACTTTGATCATGTCCTGGTAACGTAACTTTGGTTTCCCACGTGCCGCTTCCCAATACTCAGCTGACCATATAAGAGTTGATTCGGTAACCGAGTCGAATTCATGCGCCACACATGACCGAGTCATCTCAGGTGTCTCAGTGAAAGTATGCAGTCCACTGCATACATCCCACTTCGGCGCAACATTTCCGTGTCTGCAACTCTGGCGCCCCAACCGATCTGCAAAATTCGTCGCAGACACTGCTGATGGAACCGCTCGAGATATCGCACATCCCGCCGGTACATCGTCAACGTTTCACTGCTGTATAGAAGAACGGACAGTACCATGGATTTGTACACCATCAGCTTCGTGCCAATGGTAAGCTGATGGTTGTTCCACACTCGGTACTCTAGCTTCCCGAATGCCGCTGCTGCCTTCGACACGCGAATACGCAACTCAACGTGTAGCTGTTGATCAGTCGATATCACACTCCCAAGGTAGCTGAAGCGGGAGGTGGTTTCCAATGCTTCAGCACCAATGCTGATTCGCGGCAATATATAAATATATATATATATATATATATATATATATATGTATATATATATATAGCGATTTGACTTAGGGGACAGCACCCCGAGCCTTTGGCTAAATAACCCACCCGTAAGGTAGCATGACGAATTAAGGGAATCACGCACATTGGGAGCCAGTGACTGAATGCTCACTCCGTACGCCTTTTGGTTGATCGATTGACAAATGGGGCTTAATGCTTTCCACAATTTTAGCATCACGTTACTGGAATACTATGCTCTACCGGAGTGAAGCAAGGGGCGGTGACTTTATTTAGTAGCGAGTCACATCTGCCACATCGCAGTGTTGTTAAACAGTCTTATGTTGATTTTTATAGGGAAAAGGACGTGGACTAACTGATGGGATGAATAGAATGTCGCACTGAAACAAGAACCAAGAGCAGTAGTGTCTTATTACTGTGGGAAATCACAAAACTAAATGATATAAGCACGGTGATTTAATGCGCCAACTCGAGTGTGCACAAAAGCAGTTGCTGTTTGGGCTTGGTACCGCAACTGGATCGTGCAAACTGCCCTGGCGGAAGCTCGCTATCCATTTCCACTAGCCTATTTTTTCGGTACTGTTTTGGATTTTTGATGTATCCAGCTCGGAGCCGAAGATGATCAGACTAATGTTTCTTTTTTCAGTGGGGAGTATGGACTCCATGCTTACCTTCAAGTCAAAACCATTTCAATGCCCATTTCGCTGAAGAATTCTTAATTACAACGGCTTGTTAATTTTCTTCATAATCCAATTTCATAAATTGACATTATTCTCCCAAATCGGTTGTAATGCCTAAACAGCTCATCATTTTAATACATTTTGCTCTAATACATTGGTTTTGCTTTTCATTCTATTTACGGCAACGCTGCCACTCGACGTATTCAGAAAGCACTGCTGGTTTTAACGGCCGTCAGAACTGTCGAAAAATAACGTACGGCTGTTGCGCCGATGTCCAGCCCATAGGTGCCATTAGGTTAATCGTACGCGTTCCACGCAAATTAAGAATCCTGTCGTCAATCCAGTAGTTTATCGCTGTCGGTGAGCTTGACTTACGCTGAGCGAGTTCTGACGACCGGACGAACTTGAAATATTACTTAAATAACGTCTACCGTCGCAACAATATGAGG